TGGTGAGGGGCGTAACATTTCCGTCTCACGCTTGAGGTATTCGGCCAATCACAACGCACTGGGTAGCTGGCCCAATCAGAGCACACCTCGCTTTTCAGACCGATGAGCTTTGTAAAAATCGACGCGTTTCAGAAAGGCCGGGCATAGAGGAGAAAAAATAATGTACAGTATGTGGAAAATAATGCGTTTTTTGAACCTTAAACCGCATAAACACATTTCATTACACCAAATACACAAAATAATGTTATTTTTTAGCAACATCATATGACCCCTTTAAGACAAGTTCGCAGCTGCTGTTGCATTTCATATGCTTTGTTATCTGGATGTGTAAAGAAATAATATTTTTGCTGCATGTTCTAATTTCTAGTGATCATGCTGAGTTCCAGAAGCTTCGTGGTTCTCTTGTTGGAGAATGTGCAGAGTAATACCTTATATATTGTCTGTAAAGTAAACTGACTTGTGTGCGATGATGATATATGTTTGATCTAGCTTACAGTGTTCCGCTTCATCTGTTTGATTAAAGGATGAAGCACAACAAACTGGCATTTTTATAGTTTCTGTGATGATTTGTTAAAGAGATAGCTCACCCAAAAAAATTGTTTACTTTCCCTCATGTTGTTCACAACATGTATGATTGTCTTTCTTCCATGGAATACAAAGGAGAAATGGAGCACAAAAGGAGCAAAAGCAGTCTACTACCCATAAAAGCAGTCCATATTACTCATGCTCAATATTCCAAGTCTTCTGAAGCTCTATGACAGTTTTGTGTGAAGAACAGACAGATATCTAAGCCACATTTCCCTAAAAATATTGGCATTCATTTGACATAGCTCTCTTTGATGTTTTCATGAGAGAAGCAGTAATATCTGATTTGTGAACAAATTGTTCTTTTGAGCTGGATTTTTGTTTTTCAGTTAGTCCGTTGATCTGGTTGAAAAAAACAGCATGAGTCAGACTGACATTGTCTCAGGTTCCTCTCACTGACTCATTGATCAGTGATCCAATCACAGCAGTTAACAACACATGGAATGTCGTGCATGAGTTGTATGGACCAATTCTATGATACTTTTATGATGGGTTTGCATCTTTTATTGTCTTGAAGACAGTGTAATTCTGCAATAATAGTGTCCATGTGAGGAAGTGTGCTTTAATGTTAATAGAAATTGTTGTTCAAGGAAATTCCTGTCTTTACAAAACACTGTAAATGGGTCACAGCACAGGACACTCAAACGCTTCAAATTCTGTCTCTTTCTCTGTGCTATTTTCAGTTTAATATATATTTATTTATTAGATTATATATTTTACTTTTTGATTTAGATATTGTCTCATCTCTTTCATAGCAAGGCCAAGGACATCTTTGAGACAGCCCGACCATCGTGGACGTCTGGGGCGAGGTGGAGGTCGTGGAGGGGGACATGGAGACCCCGTTTCTCGCACAGGAAGCATGAGAGACTCCCAGCCTGATGGGAAAGGCGGCAGACCCCACAGCACACCCCCAAACACACCCACAAGAAGACCCTCCCTTCCCTCAGAAAGGTGAAAGACTCAAAAGCACAAAGCCTGTCAAATGGAGTCTCAAACAATGATAAATTACAATAAAAATAGGTAAAACTTTGCATTATAGCCACATTAAGAAAGCTACAAATAAATAATTTAAAGTACTTTGAAAGACAAGGGTAAATCATATATTGAATGATAAAAAGAAGATACATTCATGTACAGTCTTCTTACGAAAAATGATCTTTTAAAGTAAGCTCACCCATTGTGTGAGCAGCATTTTGCCGAGCAAGCAGCTGAGAATACAAATCAAGGCTTAATGAGTGAAAAAAAAAAAAAAGCTCTTTATTCTTCACAGACTGATAGTTTTCCAGTTTTGCAACTGCATGTCTCTAGCTGTTGATACTGTCTGACTTGATTGGCAATAACAGAAAGCATTTCAGCTGAGTGTTGTCTGAACCCAGTGCTTATTCAGCAGTCGAATGTAGGGTGCTGTTTGTGTGTGTGTGAAATCACTCCAGACAAAAACTATTGAGAGCAAACAACTGACCTCACTCTTTAGAACTGTGTTCTGTATCGCTTACTGTAGCACACACACAATGGCTGTGAGGGTGGCAGAGTTAAGCGGGTGTACTGGGTTTTGTTAATCCTCCCTCCATTCTCTCACAGATTAGCCATTCTAAACCAGTCCACAATGAATCAGCACTTTCCCTTTGCTACAGGTTGAGGGGGAGTTTGGGTCATTTGACACCTAGAATCATATGCAAAAATACCTCTATACCCCTACTTTATCATTTTGCAGCACTTTGCCAAAATGTCTGCTTTTGTCCTTACAATCACCTTTGTATTATTTGCTCTATGGTTGCTTAGTTTATGAAAACTGTACTAGGCTATTTTGCAGCAGAAATTGGCTGAACAGTTAATTACACAGATTAGGAGGATAACCCAGCAATAATGAAGTATTTAGTAAATTTGTAAAAAAAAAAAAAATTGGGTGAATTTTCTTTTTTTTTTTTAGTGGCTAGGTTAAAAAATTGTGGACTGAGGTCCCTTCTTCTGGACCAAAATGAGAACTGGTTGCTTTTGGTCCACCTAAAGAGGTCTAAATCTGGTTCATTGTAAAGAGTGTTGACTGGCTGTTTTATAATACTGGATACACTCCATCAACAAATGAAATTTTTGCGTAAAATTTAATTAAATATAATAATAATATAATATAATAATAATAATAATAAATCTTGCAGTATATTATCTAAGAAATTACAGATTTTAAGGTCTCCTTAATATAATCTCTTTTTTTTTTTTCTAGATCAGAGAAAAGAATGACCCTTCCCCCCAGATTCCAAAAAGAAGTCCATGCCCACCTCTCCCAAAACCAACAGCAGAGCAATGGTGAGCAAATTTTGGGTGGATAAGTGTTAAATATGCAGACTGTCTAATCATTTCTCTCCACAAGAAACTCCTTTAAAGGTAATAGCTATCCTGGACTCTGTTACTTAACTTCCTGTCTCAGAAAACATTCCAGGCATGGTATGTTCATTTAGGATGAAAAGAGAACAGTCATCTTCTGTCTAAAGCAGGCAAAAAGCCCCCGCTGTTTCACAGAAGGATCTCTCAGGACTACATGCCTTCAATTCTAATGTTGCTATGGGCTATATCTTAAAGTGATAGTTCACCCAGAATAGGGGAAAAAAATGTCATCAATAGAAAGTCATATTCGCTTCGAAAGATCTGAGGGTGAATAATTAATGACAAAATTGTCATAAGACTTGATAAATAGAGTCTGTGATTCATTGCCAATTTATTCAGCATCTGTTTATGATTTTATGGTTTTAGTTTATAGTTTGTCATTGCAGTATTGCTAATAAGCTGCAGCATTTATGTTGTTGATATTTCTAGCCCCTTCTAACCTGAATGAAAACACAACTCCAGCAAAACCCAAGCTGCCTCATTCTGCACCTTACAGTCCCAAGCTGGTGCAGTCCCGTCTTAAAGAGGTTCTTAACAAGCACAGCAATGGCCTCTGGGTATCCAAGCTGCCTCAGCTGTATCGAGAGCATTATAAACAAGATCTACCCAATGAAGCCCTGAAAGACCTGGAACACTGGACGCACATTTGTACAGTAAGTTTATAGATGCCTGTCATCTGATGTCATTAGAACACAGTAATTAGCATTATGTGTAATTGTGTCATTGCGGGGATCAAGATATGAGAATCAATTTATGAAAACAAATTGTAACTTTCAGAACTTACAATGTCCTCCCTAGTTCAAAAAGACCATTTATTGACAATATAAGACCATTTTGAAGTCAGAAATCCAAACCCATTAACATAACACATATTTACCTTGTTCTTTTGATGTTCCTGGCTGTGTGTAGCACCTACAGCTCTGTATTTTTGCCAGTTTAATTCTAAGGGTTGGAGAGAGAATTGGAGACAATTCATGTGATTCTCACCAAACTTGGTCAACATTATGCCAAGACACTGAAGATGTTACACTGATTTTAATATCTGGAACATCTCGGTGTTGTATTTTTGGGGGATTGATCACATGCATGTGGCTATTGTAGTTCACAGTCACTGTGCCACCAGACTGCAGCCAGAAGTCTGCCCAAGTATAGGTTTCTGCAGTACCCTAGGGGGCATTGCTCAATCAATTAAGGGTGTTTCCCAGGCTGTGGGTGTTTTTCAACTGCTTCACCTGATTAGCTCTAACCATTTGAGGTTAGGTTTAGGGGTATCCAGTCCGGTAAAGTGGTTGATAAATGCATACTGATTGGGAAATGTCCCTTTTGTTCTGTTGAGACCTCAAACTCAAGTGTGCTTAAATAATTATAATAAATTAGCTCTGTGTATTTGTCTGCAGAATAAAAATGCTGTCTTGTTGCTTGGTTTACAGGTTGAAAAACCATGCAGTAGCAAACCTCAAGAGATGCTGCTGTACCCTGCTAAAGAAACTAGCCAGATTACCCCACATAGTGCTGCTACACCCCCCACCCATGACAAATCCCCATTTCATCACAAAAAACCTCAGACTCAAAGATCATTTGCCACTTCCAAATCAAGCACTCCGGCATCCCCTAAGGATCTACCACCTGACGTCAAGCAGAAGCTTGGAGAGCTGCTCTTGAAATACAGCAGTGGCCTGTGGGCCCACGCTCTGCCTAAACTGTATCAGGACACATATAAATGTAAACTACCGGAATTTGTGCTGAACCACCTCACCTTGCTTTCAGATATTTGCACGATTGACTACCCCATGCCGGACAACCCCAAAAGAGCAATTCTGTATGCAAAAGTAGTAGAGGACGAGAACCGTAACCAGTCAGGATTGGCTGGCTCAGAGACGAGAGAAACAGTAGAGCGCCGTTTGAGCAGCCAGACTGTTCCTCCTCTTGTCATCCCTAGAGAGGAATACCCTTCTGTCCTGGTGGTGGAAGCAAGTGATGCAAACAGTGTCATTCTGAGGTGCGATTTATAATCAGTATCCTATGGATCATGAGGGGTGTGGCCCTTATCATGCCTTTACTTAGAATCTGTTAACTTTATATCGAACCAGTAAACAGAGTGCAACAGTCTGGTGCAAAAATACTTTTACAAATCAAAAGGGTTGTAATGTTTCGATTCATCACAGAGCAGGTTGGATTGGATCAGAGAATATAATTCATTGTTTGAAGAATTTTTGGAAATGCCTGTGGAGAAAAAATGTCAGGCCACTGTAAAAGTTGATGGCCACTCTTGTACTCTTGATGAAGGGTGTGTGTCTGTTTATATGCAGGTACATAGGTGAAGGTTACTCCAAGGCGCAGGAAAAGGTAGAAGATGAAATGAGAGAGTTCTATGGGCAAGACATCAACAAGGTGGCTCTGACCTCACCATTACCAGGTCAGCTGACTGCTGTACGTGCTGAGGAAGAGGAGGAGATCCTCCGGGCACAAGTGTGTGAGGTCATGGCTGACAAGGTCAAGGTGCGTTATGGGGTCATTAAAGAACACATCTGAACATAATAGAGTAGTGTAGTGGTTCTCAACCTTTTTGACTTTAAGGCCCCCTATTATCCTAGACAATATTCAAAGGCCCCCCATGTGGAGTAAGATATTTCTGGTACTTCTTTTTTTCAGAAGCTAGGAGCAATATATAAAAATAATTAACTAAAACAATTATATTAAGTTATATTAAAATTAAAATAAGTAAATTATGTAATTTATGTAATTTGAATGTGCTTTAATGGTCAATAATGAATTTATATGACTTCCAGAAATAGCTTTAACACACAAATCACAAATTTATCAGCAATTGCTTCTCAGTAGAAAAAAAAAAAAAAATTAGCTTTTTAAAGGGGTCATATGATGCAATTTCAAGTTTTCCTTTCTCTTTGGAGTGTTACAAGCTGTTCGTGCATAGATAAGATCCCTAAAGTTGCAAAGACTAAAGTCTCAAATCCAAAGAGATATTCTTTATAAAAGTTAAAGGGATAGTTCACCCAAAAATGAAAATTAGCCCATTATTTACTCACCCTCAAGCCATCCTAGGCATATATAACTTCCTTCTTTCAGATGAATGAGTTAAAATGGAAAAAATTGACTTTGATCTTCCAAGCTGTTTAATGGCAGTCAGCGGGTGTTGCAGTTCATCAGTCCAAAAGAAGTGAAATAAAGTGCATCCATCCATAATAAAAAGTGCCTCACACGGCTGCAGGGGGGGGGGTGAACAAAGGCGTCCTGTAGCGAATTGATGCGTTTTTGTAAGAAAAATACCCATATTCAAAACATAATAATCACTTTAATCCAGCCTGCGCCAACAGTTATACACGGAAGCAGCTCCGGGAGGATGACTAAGATGTCGGCGTTGCGCATGCGCCAGTGAGTCTCGTGAAAACCAACGTTTGTTAACAGGAGCAAAGGAAGCAAAGTTTCCTTACTTTAGCAAAGGAAAACCTGTCTCCTCTTGGCTTATATAGAAATCCTCCGACATTCTTCTTTACAAATCCTCATTTTGTACTTCTAATTCGTGACTGTTGTTTTGTTTCGATCTCTCCCCTGCGCTTCCGCGTGCGTCTCTTCTGAGCGGCGCATGCGCAACGCCGACGTCCTACGTCATCCGCCCGGAGCTGCTTCCGTGTACAACAGTGACCGCAAGCTGGATTAAATTGATTATTACGTTTTAAATACGGTTATTTTTCTTACAAAAACGCATTGGTTCGCTACAGGAGGGCTTTGTTCACACCCCGCAGCCGTGTGAGGCACTTTTTGTTATGGATGGATGCACTTTATTTCACTTCTTTTGGACTGATGCACTGCAACACCTGCTGACTGCCATTAAACAGCTTGGAAGATCAAAGACAATTTTTAATATAACTCCGACTGGATTCGTCTGAAAGAAGAAAGTCATATACACCTAGGATGCCTTGAGGGTGAGTAATTCATGGGCTAATTTTCATGGGCTAAGGTTCAAAAAACACATTTTCCACATACTGTACATTATTGTTGCTCCTCTATGCCCCGCCTTTCTGAAACGCGTAAATTTTTACAAAGCTCATCGTTCTGAAAAGCGAGGTGTAAGCTGATTGGTCAGCTATCCAGTGCGTTGTGATTGGCCGAATTCCTCAAGCGTGTGACGGAAACGTACTTACAGGCTGTGAGTCAGATGTGAGTCAGATTTATAGAAACAGGCACAGGCGGCATTGTAGGCTACTCTCCCAGGATCAGGGAACAGTCCTCCGTAAAATGCGCTGCACACATATGAATATTTGGGCTGAACTGTTCTGGAACAGTGTTGTAAATAAAACTTAACCACTGATTTCTAGTTGTGTCCTCTTTAGGAAGGCCAAACAAAGTAGTTTTGCTTTCACAACGAAATACACATTGTCTCCACGACATGGCGGCGGCAGCAACAATACTACTGCGATAATAAAAGTTACGCCTTCTTTCTTTGCGTGAATATTTGGGTGTTTTTTTTGCAAATCTTCCCACACAGTGACGTAGACATGTGGGGGCGTGTTTAAACGAGGCGTTTTAGGAAGGCGTGGATGAGTCTTAAAGGTTAAATCGCATAAACACAAAATACACCATTTGGTATTACACCAAATACACAAAATTGGGTCCCGGCCCACTGGTAGAGAACCACTGGTCTAGTGCAGTTCACAATGGATCATTATGGTTTTCTGTTGTAGAACTGAGGCTGTTTTGATCCGTGATATGTTTGTGCAATATCTTTGTTCATAAAGATAATGCTCTGTTTTTGTAAAAATGATTACTGCACTTGTGTGTTGATGTTTAAACAGGTGTACTATGTGGATCATGGCTTTTCCGAAGTCATCAGCAAGAGCAAATTATTTGAGTTACATGAAAAGTTTTATAGATTGCCTTTCCAAGCCACCAAATTTTAAACGAGGCGTTTTAGGAAGGCGTGGATGAGTCTTAAAGGTTAAATCGCATAAACACAAAATACACCATTTGGTATTACACCAAATACACAAAATTGGGTCCCGGCCCACTGGTAGAGAACCACTGGTCTAGTGCAGTTCACAATGGATCATTATGGTTTTCTGTTGTAGAACTGAGGCTGTTTTGATCCGTGATATGTTTGTGCAATATCTTTGTTCATAAAGATAATGCTCTGTTTTTGTAAAAATGATTACTGCACTTGTGTGTTGATGTTTAAACAGGTGTACTATGTGGATCATGGCTTTTCCGAAGTCATCAGCAAGAGCAAATTATTTGAGTTACATGAAAAGTTTTATAGATTGCCTTTCCAAGCCACCAAATGCAAACTAGCAGGTGAGCTTTGCATTCAGTTATGAATTCATTTAGACAAAATAGTTTCATGTTTAATGTCAAATATTGTCTTTATATTAATTTGTTTCAGGCCTAGAGTCATTCAGTCAGGAGCAGGCAGTACTGAAGAGGTTTGAGTCCATGGCCACTGGCAAGATCCTATTGGCTGAGATTTTAGAGCGTAAGGAAATGCCTCTGATGGTCCTGTATGACACATCACAAGATGACGATATCAACATCAATGCTGCCTGTATGAAAGCTCTGCAAGACAAATCCTTAGAGAGTCCCTTAAAGGTAACCAAAAATTAAAGTGTTTGATAATACAATGAAACCCTCATATCCCAAAAATACTGTGATGGTACCTTGGGGCATATGCCAATGTGCCTCAAGAATACCATGATATTGCCAAGATAGCATGTCCAAAAAGTTTGGTAATACTACCATACAGTACTTATACTACTATAGTACTTTTAACAATTATACCAGTGCTTTTGGAAATCCATCTAGCCAATCAAATTTGTTGACTAGAACTGTTGCATAATCAATACTCAAAAGTTTGGGGTCCGTAAGTTGTTCGAATCTTTTTAAAAGTCTCGTATGCTCACCTAGCCTGCATTTATTTGATCAAAAATACAGTAAAAGCTGTAATATTCTGAAATATTATTACTATTTAAAATAACTGTTTTGTATTTTAATACGTTTTAAAATGTAATTTATTCCTGTGATGTGTTAATCAGTGATTAAGTGAATGACATATATATTTGTATTCTGTCTTAGGTGAACAGTGCCTATATGAATGTGAACGTGACCAGCATTTGCTCAGATGGAACAATCTACTGTCAGGTGCCTTCCAGAGGCCTGACTAAACTCAACGGAATTCTGGAGAAGACTGAAAACTATTTACATTCCCAGGTACCACCCTTGTAACAGGCATAATCTCTGTATGTGCAGCTTCAAATATGTTGCTAGGGGCTTCTTTAGAGGAGGTGAAGAGGCCCAAATAGACAGATTGGGATTATGGGTTTAATCAGGTTGGCAGGCGTCAAGTACATAATCCTCAGTAAATAGTTGCCTGCTGGCACAGATTGTGTACTAGAGTGCCTAACTTAGCCACCAATGTATATATCAAAGTGTTTTAAATAGTAATTGTTTATTGTAGTACATTGCATATCAGCACCCTGTAGAGAAGTGTGTTGTCCATTTCATGATGTGTTCCCTCCCGTTGTCTGGCAGACAGGATATGCTCACATATCTTTCCCTTATGAAAGGTCACATCAGAGTTGCTGGTTTCACGGCCTTTCTGTGGCAAAAACTGTTTGGCTCGATATAAAGGCAAATGGTCCCGGGTGGAGGTGAGTCTGCTCTGTTAGTAGAATGGTTAAGAAAAGAAAAGAGTTAATAACAACTATTGTAAATTTGTAAGTTGAAAGGCCTCAAATGAGCATTTCATCTATTTGTTCCTTTGTTTCTTTATTTGTATTTTATGGAATTGTTCCCTCATGCCCCAGGAATTACCAGAATTATGTGATAACAATTAGGAGACGCTGAGCTGTTCATGTCCTCAGACTCAGACCATTTTCATTTTTATGGTATCACTCATAATGCTAAAATGGTTCTGTGTGTGACTTTGTTGGCAAAATTCTTCATTACTGCAGAGATTCTTCTCTTACATTCTATCAATCAAAAGTTTGGGGTCAGTAAGATTTTTTAATTTATTCTTTTATTTAGCAAGGATGTTCTTTTGAACTTTCCATTCATCATAGAATCCTAAAAAAGATGATGTAAAATGATTTAAAAGGATCATGTGACACTGAAGACTGGCGTTATTGTTGCTGAAATTTCAGCTTTGCCATCACAGGAACAAGTTACATTTTTATATTAACATAGAAAACAAATATTTTAAACTGTAATAATATTTCACAATATTACTGTTTTTTACTGTATTTTTGATCAAATAAATGCAACCTTGCTGATCATAAGATACTTCTTTGAAAACATTTAAGAGATAGTTCACTCAAAAATAAAAATTCTGTCATTAATGACTCACCTTCATGTCGTTCCAAACCCGTAAGACTTTCGTTCATCTTCTGAACACAAATTAAGATATTTTTGATGAAATCCTAGAGCTTTCTGACCCTGCATAGACAGCAATGCAACTACCACGTTCCAGGACCAGAAAGGTAGTAAGGACATTGTTAAAATAGTCCATGTGACATCAGTGGTTCAACCTTAATTTTATAAAGCTACGAGAATACTTTTTGTGCTAAAAAAAACAGAAATAACGACTTCATTCAGCATTTTCTTCTCTTCCGTATCATTCTTCGATGCACGTTCACGAGAGTACCATGATGCCCACGTGTGCTGCTGATGCAGGAGCCGACATTCTGGCGTAGAACCCGGATGTGCTGCGCCTTGTTTACAAGCAGAAGAAGATGCACGCTGTACATAAAACAGTCTTCGTAAACATGTCTGAAGATTTCGATTGAGAGGATGACTTGCAATTTTTTGCCCAGCCTTATTTGAACCAGATTAAACAGACGATGAACTGAGAGATGGACATTCTATGCCAGAACGCCGGCTCCTGCATCAGCAGCACCACACACATGCGTTGTGGTACTCTCATGAATGCACGCCGAAGACTGACACGGAAATGAAGAAATTGTTGAATGAAGCCGTTATTTTTGTTTTCTTTGCGAACAAAAAGTATTCTCGTAGCTTCATAAAATTAAGGTTGAACCACTGATGTCACATGGACTATTTTAATGATGTCCTTCTACCTTTCTGGGCCTGGGAACGTTTCAGTTGCTGTGCTGTCTATGCAGAGTCAGAAAGCTCTCAGATTTCATCAAAAATATCTTAATTTGTGTTCTGAAGATCAACAAAGGTCTTACGGGTTTGGAACGACATGAGGGTGAGTAATTAATGACAGAATTTTCATTTTTGGGTGAACTATACCTTTAAGTCTTGTACATAAAATATACTGTAAATTTAGAGATTGCTACCAAACTATTAGCCTTTGAGCTACTGAATCCACTATCAATTTGTTCCTTTTGACATAATGGCAAAATGGTCACGCATTTCCTACCTGTAATTATGACATTTGCAAAGACATGAATAGTTTTTTATAAGTCGGCGATCTCCTAATTTTAGTAATTCCAACATGTTGTGAGCACAGCATAAAATCATATTCACTAAAATATTACCTGGTTCCTTTATTGAAATTGATAATTATTGTTGAAATAATCTGAGCTGATCTATTTAAACATTTCACATTTATCATTCCTGTGGCATCAGGACTATAACCGTGTCCACTGTGTTTTCGCCATAGATAACAAACTTGCATGGCAGCCGGGTGCTGGACATCTTGTTTGTGGATGTAGGCGTTCAGGCATCGGTCGAGGTCACCGAGTTGAGAGAGATTCCACCTCCTTTGCTGCATGACCTCATATCCACCCCAGCTCAGGTCAGACAACTGCTAATGACGGCACAAAGACGTTAATGAGTATAGTGGTTTGTAACAGCAGTTTGGGTTCATTTTTAGTTTTTGAATGAAGGGCATGAAAAACCTGCAAGACTTGCTTTTGTTTGTAAACAGTAATGACTTTATGTTTGGCAGAAATGTCCAGGCTGCTTTTTTCCATGTTATCCAAGGCTGTCCATGGTCCCCATTCACTTTCATTGTATAAATAGCAGCTTAAACATTTTGCTATAAATGTGACAAGGAAACAAAGAATCAAACTGTTTTGGAATAACATGAGGGTGACTCCTTCATTTTTGAATGAGCTGATTTAATTCTTAGATCAATAATATGTAAGCTTGTCTGTCTGCCTATTTGTCACTCTGCAGGCACTGAAGTGTTGTCTGGCAGATCTGCCTGTAAGCGTAGGCTCATGGACTCCAGATGCTGTCCAGTGGCTGAGAGACACGGTTCTCCACTGCAGTGACTGCAGCTTGAAGGCCAGTTACATCATAATGCTGCTCTGTTTTCACATTTGCATTTTATTTTATTTTGTTTGCACATAAGCACAAGCATAAAACTGGGGCTAATTTCAGAAAGAAAAAAATGTGGAAAAGGCATAAAGATGCTTGTACAAAGTACTCAACAACAGCAGAAAAGAAGCACTAAAAACAGTTGCATTTGTTTTTCTAGATAGCTAAAGTGGATGAGCCCAAACGCCTTGCTCATGTTTATCTCTTCACCAGCAAGAACTTCCACGATGCAAACTGCAGTTTAAATTACTGTTTTCAATATTGATATTAATAAAAAAAAAATCTTGAACATCAGATCAGAATATTACAATTATTTCTGAAAGATTGTGTGAAGACTGGAGTAATGTCTGCTGAAAATGTAGTTTTGCTATCACATGAATACATTAAATTTTAAAATACATTTAAATAGAAAAGTTCTTTTAAATGTAAATAATATAACATTTCATATTACTGTTTTAACTGTATTTTTTAAATAAAAAATGCAACCTCTTTCAAAAATATGAAAAGATCTTACTGACCCCAAACTCTTTAAACAGTATCAAAAAAATACACAGAATAACATAATATCATAAAAAAACTGCAAAATACAATAATAAATAAAAAATATGTTGGTTTATATAAACGAAGACGTTTAAAAAGTGTAATCAAGTTAGTTGTTTTTGATCCGAACAAGTGAAATAAATTATACCTGTTGGGATAAAATTCAACTAAAGGAGAACATCTCTAAAAGGTGAAAGGAAATTGCTTTTGTGGAAAGCTGAGTTCCACATTCAGATCACTTACCATATTACTTTACAGACTGTGTGCTGTTTTGACTATCACTCCTGCTTCCAAAGAGGCTGGTCAAAGTCCCTGACTCATATGGGCCACATGATACTGGCTGTATCTCAGAAAGAACTGATCTCAAAACAACTCCTTCTTTTCATTTAGCCACTTTGAGAAGTTCAGGTGTGATTTTCTTTGTAGGTCTGAAGGTGTTTCTGATCTTTCCAGGTCTGAAACCCAGGCAGTGGTCTGAGGAGGCCTCCATTGTGTTCAGGAACCATGTCGAGAAGAAGCCCCTGGTAGCCCAGCTGGAATCGGTGCAGGAGGCATCACAGCCCTGGGACCGTAAGGTGATTATCTACTTGGTGGACACTTCACAAGAGGAACGGGACATTTGGCTTCATGACATTATGGCTGAATTCACTGATGAGATGTCCAACGCAGCATAGACACCCTAGTTAAATATTTTTGGAAGGTTCTCAGAAGGTTGTTCATTAGTATGCTACAGATTAGGGATGCACCGAAATTTTGGCCGCCGAAAATTATCGTCTGAAAATGCCATTTTTGGTTTTTGGCCGAAAGAGAAAAACGTCTGAAAATATATGGCGCGCCGCACTGCCTAGCAGTGTTCAGCGCACAGGTTTCACTCTCCCTCTAGCTGACGCTCTGCTCAATATTCCACTCTATGAATGTGCGTTCCGTTGAGTTGCTCACGGCCCGTGCGACGCTCCACTCATGTACGCTCATGCTCACCGGAAAAGCAAAATCCGCTCAAATAGCACGCCGACAGTAAATTTCTACGTAGTATACTTGTTTCTGTTTGCAGTAGCACTACTGTGCTGTAACATGGTGTAGTAGGACTATTTTTATTTTTATCTTTTTATATAACGCTTTATTTAGTGACAAATCACATCATGCAAAGTAACAATAACATCAGGAAATCAATAAAAAAAAGGTTATAATTATAATACAAAAAATATATACAGAGGGGTATTGAAAGCAAATCCATATCTCTATGGTGTCATAGGCCTATGTACTGGGCAACGCTGGTAAAATGACGCTAACCTCTCCTGACGCTATGCTCTGATAATAATAGCTTTGTAGGACTATACATCATTTGGATAATTTACTTTTTTTTTTTTATTTGATTCTGTTGCATAGAACTGAATAAAAATAATATATTGATATTTAATATTAATATATTTCCTGTCCAATTTCATTGCTTTAATTTCAATAAAAGCATGGTTATTTTATTGGCTTGTATTTTTTAAAATTCAGTATCATTAAAATTGAGTTAAATTGAAAAGTATTTTATATTATTTAATAAAATAATAATTATTGAAAAGCATTTTCAGTTTTGGTTTTCGGCCAAGTGCATCCAGAATTTTCGGTTCCGGCCAAGAATTTTAATTTCGGTGCATCCCTACTACAGATTAAAGGTTTATTTTTACAAAGGTGACTTGGATGCAGATCTGCGTAAGCAGAATCATAGGGTTTAAAGGTTAAACTTTTAGACTAAAGTATTGCAATTTCTAGCAACGTATATGTTAAACAAACAGGCTAGCAGCACCTTTTCAAGAGTTTGACGTCTGTGTTTGGTGAGAGAGTGGGTGGGTAATGCACTCCGGAGGCTATTGCCTTTGCTTTAACACAAAATAGCTGTGAAAATCCATCATCAGTGAAATCAAGCTTTCATCTTCTGTGGGTCCTGAAGTTAATCATGGTCACTAAAGCTGTACCAAACCCTGATGCTGTCAATCATATTCCATAATGTTTTTGAATACATTAGATAAGTTCAGATGATGTGCTATGTGGTGGCTTGCTTCATGTTTCAAGTATGGCATGTTACAAAGCTGCCAGTTTACTACTCTATAGGGTCCAAAAGAGACTAACAACGCACAGTGCTCAAACTTGCACAAAGCTCATAGTGTGTTTTTTCATGAAGTTGTTTACATGGAGAAGCTTACTGGAGTCTAAAAGGCAAGAGGAACGGCAAAAGCCGCCCGTGCTGTAGACATATGTATTTGAGCTCTGGTTTTAGCATTATTTATTTAGTTTTTATTTTCTGTGTCTTGCTAATAATATAGTGGAGACATGAAATGTTTGGGGTTGTGACCATTCAATGTATTTTAATAGCAATGGCATAGTAAATGAGTTTTATTACCTGAAAACGACAGTTAGACTTGAAAGCTAAACCACTGTTGGCTTGTAGGATTTTTCCTGCGTTTTAATTACAGATGCTTAATATTTTAGAGATAAATGTGGAACAATCACTGGTAGTAGACTTAAACTTAATATATTTCCTTCACCTTAAACGTCAACTTGGAATCAAAATTGAACCAATTTTCTTTATTAACACACATTTCTGGTTTAAGTGAATGAAAAAAAAAATGTCTTAATGAATCTTAAATAGCTTGTTCTTTCAGTCTTATTTTCCAAATCTTCCCCTCTGATCTCCTGTAAAAGATGACTTTTCACTGTCCAATCAAATAAAGGCTCACTCTAAATTTTTTCATTAAACATTCAGTTTCACTCAGAAAATAATTAGGCACATTACGGAAATAAAATGAGATATTGGGGGGGGGGGGGT